CCCCAAAACCCCAAAACCCCAAAACCCCAAAACCCCATTTACTTCTGAACAAATTGAAGCGGATATATTCTGGCTCGTTGATAACATCTATAAATTAAATATAAATATGGGACTTGCATCTAGAGTTTTAAGCAAGAATAAATTCATTTTAACCCTCTTTGTAATACTGAGTGTGCTTACTCAGACATTTGCACAAGAAACTCTTTGTACAAACGAGGTCTTTAAGATGGTATTTGGAGGAAATCAGATGGATTTAGCCTCTATTCTGGTGTCTACTGGCAAGGTAAATAATGATCTGGGAGAGTCTGACTTCTGAATGAATAATCCTGACACTACTTATGCCGTTATGTCATATTTCCCATTTCCTTTATACCTAGGAATGTGCCTTCCAAGTACTTGTAACAGCCAAAACTCCAGAATCATAGCACAAGCGCTGAACCAATTCGTTCAGTCTCAAGGAGTAATGATCAGTGGGAGGCTAATCTTTCCTTATACAGAGCCTCCACAAGTGAAAGCTGGAAATTGGGTGGGCTTCTTCGGATTTGGATTCTTGGCTCTCCTCTGCATTTTCGGAATTATTGTTGAGTATACCAACCTCTTCGGAAAGGTAGATTATACAGACGTTGAAGAATCACAAAAAGACAAAGTACTCGTACACTCTAAAAATCCTCTTGGCAAACTTTTTATCTCATTTTCATTCTCGAGAAACTTGAGAAAAATGTTCTGGACACCACAGAATAAAGGTGACTATCTCAGTGTCTTCAATGGAATCAGAGTTATCAGTATGGGCTATATTATTTTCGGCCATATTCATGAATCATTTGGAGTTTTACCCATTGCCAATGGCCAAGAAATGGCAAAAATCCAAACAAGCTGGTATGGAATCTTTATTATGGGAGCATTTTATGCAGTTGATGTCTTTTTCTTCCTCTCTGCATTTCTTGGAGCTTATTTAATGATCCCAAAGCTCCAGAATTCCAACTTATTGAACCTCATATTGAACTTCATAATGATCTATATTCACAGATTCATAAGACTTATCCCCACTTTGGCACTTTTCATTTGTTTGATGCTGACATTTTTAAACTTCCTAGGAAATGGACCATTATGGGAGATGATAGATTACCTGTTGGTTCAGCCATGTCAGAAGTATTGGTGGACAGTCCTCACATTCTCTAATAACTTCTATCCTCCATCAGGAAAGTTAGGCTGCATGACCGTGTTATGGTACCTCGCAAATGATATGATGTTCTTCATGTTACTCCCTGTGGTAGTGCTCCTTTACACGAGAGTAAAGTTCCTTGGCTATATAGCATCGGTAAAGCTGATAGTAGCCAACATGATCACCGTCTTTGTTCTTGCTGCTGTCCATCACCATCCAATGACAATGGTGAAGGATCCCAATAAAAAGGAGATCTATCACAGTCCTTATTCTAGATTCGGAGCTTACTTTGTCGGATGTCTATTTGGAATTCTTTATTATGAATGGAAGAAATCCAAGACAAACCCTGCTTATGAAAGAACTCCAGGAGCTATCTTTTACGGCCTTTTTGAAAACAATAGATTTGTAAGATACCTTGGACAGTTCTTCGGTCTCGGAATCATCCTATTTTTGGTAATGATTACCTACACAGAAATGAAGACCCTTGGAGTTATACTCTGGCCACAGATGGCTTCGAATTTCTTCAATGCTTTCCACAGAGTTGTGTTCTGCATTGCGTTGCTGCTCTTCTTCGCAGGAGCTATGGTTGGAAAAAGCAAACTAATAAGATTTGTATTCGGAGGTTCAGCCTGGGGGCCATGGGCAAAAATTACTTTCATCGTGTATCTCCTCCACTCAATACTAATCACATGGTACTACGCACAAGCAAATCAATCCCTATGGATAACTAAAAGAGTGGCTGTTTACTATTGGTTCGCAGCTACAATTCTCTGATACCTAGTTGCAATCCCTGTTGCATTACTAATAGAGTCTCCAATTTTACAATTGGAAAAAATGTTCTTAATGCCTCTAACTCAGACTAAACAAGAGCGTCCAGAGATCTATGAGGAACAGCTGGAGCAAAAGCAAGGACTCCTCAGATCAAGTCTCAACCCAGAAACAACTGTGGATAAGGAGTAAGCCTAATTACTTTGATACAATAAGCCATTGCTAGCTCTAAATTTGTAAGAAATATCCAGAAATTAATCCCAAATATATTCCGACACGGGGTTCAATAGAATTTAAAAATCTTGGGGTTTTGGGGTTTTGGGGTTTTGGGGTTTTGGGG